GGGGGATGCGGGGGATGCGGGGGATGCGGTGCGGGGGATGCGGTGCCGTGCAGGCGGAGGCGCCGTTCCCGGCGGTACCTCTAGGAGGAAACCTCAACCTGTGTTGTGTCTGCGGGAGCCGGGCTTCCCGGCTCTGCTATTCAACTTTCATACTGCAGCTAAGTTAGTACTTTTGATATTTCTAAGTTTTTTTTTTTTTTTAAACATTTATGTAGAACACCACATAATTGCAGAAAAGATAATAGTCACATACCCTAGGGCTTGGTGTACACTTATGTTAAAAGTACAGCTTTTATTGGCAACTAAAGTAATAACCTTTCCATGTCAAATTGCTTTAAATTAAACTTAAAAAAAAAAAATGCTGGCTGATACCCACACTTAGTAATTGTCAAACATTAGCATAATGTGGAATACTAAAGCTGCTTAAATCTTGGGTTTAAAAATAATTATTTACTTAGGTAAATTCTCTATTCAAAAGCATAATATTAGAAATTTTTTTTATACAGTCTCCTCAATGTATATGTTAAAATGCAGACCTGAGCTTGATGTGGAAGTGGGGCTGAATGTTACTGTGGTCTCTGAGAGAAAAAGGGGGATTTTATACCTTTAGCTTGTCTGTCCATCATTGCTCACACAGAAATAAATGTTTTAAGGTTGTACCTCTGAAGGCAGAGGTGCTGTGGGTGACATCTTGTGACCCAAGGACAGTGACCTGCAGTACCTGCTGATCGTACCCCCAACTGCAGCCCTGGGTCCAACATAATGTTTCTGGTGCTGGACAACATCTGGGAGAAGGATGTCTCAAGGATGTGGCTGTGGAAGGCCAAGGCCAGCAGGTCAGTAAAGTGTTTCATCCAGGTGCATTTTAAATTTCTGCTCCAGCACAGAACTGGAGCACATGTGGTGGGAACCATTCAAATTTCCAGTGTGAAGCAGGAGAGGGGACATTTCACTATGAGATATGGCTCTCAGAGCTTGCTGCTGTGTGTGAAGGAAATGGGATCTTCCAGGTGCCATGAGGACACAAGTCCTCATGGTTTTCTGCTTTTGGGAGGCCCAGCATCTGACATACCTACCTTGAGGAGCCCATCCCCTTGCCAGCACTTCCCTGTGAAGTCCACCACAGCACTGTGAGTCTACTGATTCTTCCTCAGAAACACACCAGTGTTTTACTGGAAGTTCAGCAAAACCTATTTTGGAACATTTTCTTAAAGAAATCAGCAGTGCCCTTATTAGGGCAAAAGGTTTTTTTGGCAAATTCCCACAACTTTGACTAGCAAATTAGAAAGGGATTGCCCTTCCCA